CCCGTATGTCCTTTTTTCCCACAGACTAGGGTCTATCAGCTTCCTCAGGTTCTGGAACATGTGCTCTGTTATGTATGGAATCATCGGAGACTGCAATAGATTTAAAATAAATATTTGATACTTGAAGTGTATTTGATTACCATCATTTACTATCAAAAATTATACATAATTTTAGGGAAATCTTAAAGATGAATCAAAATGAATGTACACTTGAACATGTCTATTTAATAAATCATTTTCCAATATAGATTGACCAGTCTTTTGAACATCCTGGAAGGAAGTATTTGTGAATCTAACTTTGAGCAACTGATATAATTGTTGATAATAAACACACTACCACTCACCATAAGCCTGATCATGGTCATCAGTACAGAGAAAAGAGTTTCCAGGGCCTCCCTACAGTCATCTTGGCCACCCTCTCCCTGTTATACAGAAAACAGTATTTAAACATTTATAACTGAGAGTGCTTCCTATTCAAATTCGACAGTAAATCATTAATGCTAACACAGATACACTGTGAAATATTGCCATTTTTACCCTTTTTATATATTTCAAGAATATGAAAAAATATGATTTTTTTTTTTTACAGACGTTTTCTTTTCCCTGCTATAATCCTCACCTTTAGCCTCTTTCTGTTCATTCTGACATACCAGTTGGTGAGCTGATCTACAAACTTGACAAGTCTAGGCATTACTGTGTACAGGCGATAGGCTGTAAAATAAAAATAATAGCTGATTACCATGATAACAGTGTATCATACTCACTCTTCACCATAATTATGTACAGAGTTCATGTAAGATTTCCTTATGAAATTTAAAGATGTATGAAAAAAAAGTTAATTTTGATATTTAACATTTTCATTAAGATAGTAATTGTACATATACAAGCTTCAATTTTTGACGAAGAAATCAACATAATTATCAAAATACAACAATCCAAATACATCACAGTAGCAGGTCTACAAATATGCATATATTTAATACTGAAGCTCTGCTTTTGATTAAGAATATCCAAGAGCCATATCATGATGTCCTTATCTTAAACATACCTTGCATTTCCACCCTGACAAACTTGATGAGTGACTGAGCTAGTGACATAATCCACCTGTCCTTGTAGTTGGCTCGTTTAGTCATCTTGTTCTCATTGTACAAAAATTCTAATCCCTCTTCCTGAAAGTAGTATTAATATTTTTTACATGTATTTCTTGGTAGAAAAAAAGATGTACTCTATTTAAAAAAAGTAACTCTCCCAATCTTCAGTCCCTTTGTTGATCGACAAACAATGAATTTATCATAGTCATAATCCAAAAGCCAAAAATTTTAAAAATGCTTCACCTCCAAGACGAAAATTTTAGGCACAAAATTTTGCTTTCACAACTTGAGAATTTCATCTGGACAATCAGTTTTATATCACAGATATTGGATAAGATATAAGAACACTTCCTATTATGGTGAACTTACTGTTTGATATCTGTCAACGTTCTGCATGAAGAACCTGTAAGCATTGTACCAAGGCAGGAAGACGTCCTTAAGCACTCTTTCTACCCCTTCCTCCTTAAACTTCAGACCCTCAGCCTTCACGGCCGGGGAGTTACACAGGTAGAGTCTGAAACAGTACAGCCAGGAATTATAGATAGATATAATGAAAATCTACAGCAGTGTCACTGCGGGAGAGTTACATAGATACAGTCTGAAACAGTACAGACAGGAATTATAGACAGATATAATGAAAATCTACAGTAGTGTCACAGCGGGGTAGTTACACAGGTACAGTCTGAAACAGTACAGCCAGGAATAATAGACAGAAATAATGAAAATCTACAGTAGTGTCACAGCGGGAGAGTTACACAGATACAGTCTGAAACAGTACAGCCAGGAATTATAGACAGATATAATGAAAATCTACAGTAGTGTCACATCCGGGGAGTTACATAGATAAAGCCTGAAACAGTACAGCCAGGAATTATAGACAGATATAATGAAAATCTACAGTAGTGTCACAGTGGGGGAGTTACACAGGTACAGTCTGAAACAGTACAGCCAGGAATTATACACAGATATAATGAAAATCTACAGTAGTGTCACAGCAGGGGAGTTACACAGGTACAGTCTGAAACAGTACAGCCAGGAATAATAGACAGATATAATGAAAATCTACAGTAGTGTCACAGTGGGGGAGTTACACAGGTACAGTCTGAAACAGTACAGCCAGGAATAATAGACAGATATAATGAAAATCTACAGTAGTGTCACAGTGGGGGAGTTACATAGATAAAGCCTGAAACAGTACAGCCAGGAATTATAGACAGATATAATGAAAATCTACAGTAGTGTCACAGCGGGGTAGTTACACAGGTACAGTCTGAAACAGTACAGCCAGGAATAATAGACAGATATAATGAAAATCTACAGTAGTGTCACAGTGGGGGAGTTACATAGATAAAGCCTGAAACAGTACAGCCAGGAATTATAGACAGATATAATGAAAATCTACAGTAGTGTCACAGCGGGGTAGTTACACAGGTAGAGTCTGAAACAGTACAGCCAGGAATAATAGACAGATATAATGAAAATCTACAGTAGTGTCACAGTGGGGGAGTTACACAGGTACAGTCTGAAACAGTACAGCCAGGAATAATAGACAGATATAATGAAAATCTACAGTAGTGTCACAGCGGGGGGTTACACAGGTACAGTCTGAAACAGTACAGCCAGGAATAATAGACAGAAATAATGAAAATCTACAGTAGTGTCACAGTGGGGGAGTTACACAGGTACAGTCTGAAACAGTACAGCCAGGAATTATACACAGATATAATGAAAATCTACAGTAGTGTCACAGTGGGGGAGTTACACAGGTACAGTCTGAAACAGTACAGCCAGGAATAATAGACAGATATAATGAAAATATACAGTAGTGTCACAGCGGGGCAGTTACACAGGTACAGTCTGAAACAGTACAGCCAGGAATTATAGACAGATATAATGAAAATCTACAGTAGTGTCACAGCGGGGTAGTTACACAGGTAGAGTCTGAAACAGTACAGCCAGGAATAATAGACAGATATAATGAAAATCTACAGTAGTGTCACAGCGGGGGAGTTACACAGGTACAGTCTGAAACAGTACAGCCAGGAATTATACACAGATATAATGAAAATCTACAGTAGTGTCACAGCGGGGGAGTTACACAGGTACAGTCTGAAACAGGTCAGCCAGGAATAAAAGACAGAAATAATGACAAGAGGCCCAAGGGCCTTGAATCGCTCTTCTGATAAATTGTACAACCTATCACTTGTATTTGAAGCCTCTAACCCTAAGTATCCTAAGACCAAAGTTGCATCACCTGACAAAGTTTGATGATTCTTAGCCAATTAGGACTACCTCTTGGTCTACATTCTTGGAAAACCCAAAATGCATCAACTGACACAGTTTGATTATTCTAAGCCAATAAATACCTAAGATACTTAAATATAGCCATAAAATGTCGAAAGTAGGTCACCGTGACCTACTTTTTGGTTGACATTCTCCAAAAACCCAAGATGCATCAACTGACAAAGTTTGATGATTCTAAGCCAGTAAGTACCAGAGATGCTTAAATATAGCCAAAAAATGTCGAAAGTAGGTCACCATGACCTACATTTTAGTCGACATTTTTCAGAGTCCAAAGATGCATCTGCTGACTAAGTTTGATGATTCTAAGCCAATAAATACCTGAGATATTCAAAAGTAGGTCATCATGACCTACTTTTTTGTCGACATTTTCCGAAAACCCAAGATGCATCAACTGACAAAGTTTGATGATTCTAAGCCAGTAAGTACCAGAGATACTTAAATATAGCCATAAAATATCGAAAGTAGGTCACCGTGACCTAATTTTTGGTCATCACTCTCCGAAAACCCAAGATGCATCAACTGACAAAGTTTGATGAGTCTAAGCCAATAAGTACCGGAGATACTTAAATATAGCCATAAAATGTCGAAAGTAGGTCACCGTGACCTAATTTTTGGTCGTCACTCTCCGAAAACCCAAGATGCATCAAGACAACTGACAAAGTTTGATGATTCTAAGCCAATAAGTACCGGAGATACATAAATATAGCCATAAAATGTTGAAAAAGTAGGTCACCGTGACCTAATTTTTGGTTGTCACTCTTCGAAAACCCAAGATGCATCAACTCACAAAGTTTGATGATTCTAAGCCAATAAGTACCGGACATACTTAAATATAGCCATAAAATGTCGAAAGTAGGTCACCGTGACCTAATTTTTGGTCGTCACTCTCCGAAAACCCAAGATGCATCAACTCACAAAGTTTGATGATTCTAAGCCAATAAATACCTAAGATACTTAAATATAGCCATAAAATGCCGAAAGTAGGTCATCGTGACCTACATTTTGGTCGACATTTTTCAGAGTCCCAAGATGCATCTCCTGACCAAGTTTGATGATTTTAGGTCTGAAGGTAATCAAAATATGCCTTTTAAACTATTTGAAAACATATGCCTGCAAAATTCTAAAAGTGGGTCACAGTGACCTACTTTTTCTTAAATATGTTTTAAGGTCCCAAGATGCAGCAACTTACAAGATTTGATGATTCTAACCCTTTCAGTGCCTGAAATAATGGGATTAAATGTTTTAAAAAGGTTAAGTCATAAAGTTCAAAAAGTAGGTCACGGTGACCTACTTTTAAGTTGACATTGTTCAAGGACCCAAGATGCATCAACTGACTAAGTTTCATGATCATAGGCCTTAAAGTGTCCAAAATATGCCTTCAAATCAATTTGAAAACAAATGCCCGCAAAATTAAAAAAGTAGGTCACCGTGACCTACTTTTGAGTTAACATGATGTGAAGTCCTAAGATGCATCAACTTACAAGATTTGATGATCCTAGTCCTTATAGTAAGCAAAATATAAACATTTTTATTAATTGTAAATTTAGGTCAACTTTAAAGTGACCTTGAGACCACGCCCTTTGCCCCAGGGTCATGCCTTGAACAATTTTAAATCTTCAACATATCCTGATCCTTGTATGTAAGTTTGGTGAAAATCTGCCTGGCGGTTCTGGAGAAGAAGATTTTTTAGCAACTAGTACTTTTGGTTTTGTTTTCCTGATTATCTCCCCTTGTTTTACGGTCCCAACCCTTATTTTAGTATAAATGGTAGCCCTTGGGCCAAGGATACCCTGTGGCAAATTTGGTACTGATTGGCCAAAGGGTTCTTTAGTTATGGCCCATATTCTAAAAAGTTAACGCACACCGCACAAATGGCCATAGCATTAGCTCTTTGAGCCTTTGGCTCAGAAGAGCTAAAAATCTACAGTAGTGTCACAATGGGGGAGTTACACAAGTACAGTCTGAAACAGTACAGCCAGGAATAATAGACAGATATAATGAAAATCTACAGTAGTGTCACAGTGGGGGAGTTACACAGGTAAGTCTGAAACAGTACAGCCAGGAATTATAGACAGATATAATGAAAATCTACAGTAGTGTCACAGCGGGGGAGTTACACAGGTACAGTCTGAAACAGTACAGCCAGGAATAATAGACAGATATAATGAAAATCTACAGTAGTGTCACAGTGGGGGAGTTACACAAGTACAGTCTGAAACAGTACAGCCAGGAATTATAGACAGATATAATGAAAATCTGAAACAGTACAGCAAAGATTCACAAACAGAAATAGTGTAAGAGCACAAATATTCGACAAATTGTCAAAATTTTCTCCCCATGAAAATTTGTGGTACTACAGTAATGAAAATCTAGTTAGTGTAGTTTCACACCAACACAATAATACTTCACAAAGGTATAAAGATAAAAAGAGGAATACAGTTCTAAATCATGTAATTCACGACCTACAGATTAAGTAAATTTCATACAGGCTAAATAAGTATTTATCTCTATTAACTACCTTTTCAACTTTAACTTAAATGTCCTTTAAACCTACAGTACACTTTATAACATTTTTTCCCTTTTCAATGATAAACAGAAGAGTCCAGATGTTTGGACTGATTATATTCTTACCTGAGTGCATCAGCACCATATTTGTGGACTATCAGCATTGGATCTGGGTAGTTCTTCAATCTTTTGCTCATCTTATTTCCATCCCTGAATTGTTCAATGTTCATATCAGTATAAGTATTTTTAAATTTTTAATGTATATTATCCATGTCTCTAACAAAGAGTTTGAAAGCACAAACTGACACAAAACTTTTACAATGATTTTTCATTTATGTTTATGTATGTGTGATGTATCCCAGAATTTTTTGGGGGGTTTATCTTTTAGAATAACTTACTCAGCCAACACTATTCCATTGACGATGAGATTCTTGAATGGGGGCTTTCCGAACAGAAGTGTGGAGAGTACAAGCAAGGTATAGAACCTAGAAAAGAAGCAAAACATCTTTATGTTCAAAATATTACTTTAGAAATAGCTTCTATAATACTAATTATAACTAAATTTATTAAATGTCCAGATTTACAAATGATGGTATTATATAACAAATCATGAAAACTGAATACAGTAAAACTTGGTTTTAATGAAGTCACTGGGGCCTGTGAAATCACTTCGCTATATTCATAATTCCGTATATCCATATAAGGAATTTGTTAAATTTATATAGCTGGGGATCAAAGTTAATTTTACTATATCTGTGAATTCACAATATCAGTGTTCATACTGAAGGAGTTTTGCTGTATAGTTCATTATAGAATTACCATCCCCTGGTCTGGTCTATTCCTTCTGCAATGAAGTCGGCAGGAAACGCATCATCAAACTCTTTCTTCCTCTCAAACGGGTAATGGACTTGGGCATAGGGCATGCTCCCACTCTCAAACCAACAGTCAAACACCTCTAGGGTGCGTCTCAAAACTCCTTTTCCCATCTTAGATGGAATGGTGATATGATCCACTCTTAACAAAAATTTGTTTAATTTGAAAAAATCACATGGTTTCAATTAATGTTCAGGTAGATTTCTCCTTCTAAATAATAAAATAATTTTTATTTATTTCCATTTCTATTCAATTGGAATGCATCACAGTTCTCTGTATAAAGTAAACATATGCTTTTTTTTTGACAATATTTGATTAAGGTTCATCATAACTGTGATAAGAGAGATAACTCTTAATGACATAAATGTCTATTATTCCTTTAAAAATTAGTCAAGTTGAAGTGTATTTGTTGTCCAATTTGTTCCTGCAAGCTATGCTATAATTGTTTGTATTTTATTCAACAAAATTAATTCATTTCTCTTCAAAAAACCATAAGAGTTACAAAATATTTTGTATGAGTGAGCAGAGGGGTTGTGATCCTTAAAGTGTCTACAGTTCCTTTATGTGACTATTGAATGTAATGACAGAATCTCCCTTACGATTCTCTGTGAAGGTCCTTGACCTCTACACCAGACAGCTTCTTCAGCTCCTCCACAGACCCAACACACACAATCTGAAATTCACACAACAAAATAAAGCACTTTTTTTTTTTTTAAAAGGCATACAGTGTACATCAGAACATCTTTTTTACAATAAAGTTTCTTAATCAGTAATAATTTTGCTACTTCATGAGTCTTTTTAGAAAAAAAAATGGATATCAGAATTCTCATGCCATAATGTAATTATCTTGACAAATCTCTTAGGTTTTTAAGGTTCATTGATACTCTAATAAGAGAGATAACTCTTAATGACATAAATTTCTCTTATTCCTTTTTAGAATTGTCAAGTTCAAGTGGGTTTTTTTTGTCCAATTTTGCCCCACAAGCTATGCTATAATTGTTTGTATTTCATTTATAAAAGACATTTCTGTATTCGAAATCCTACCTCTTCCCCATCCTCACTGATCCAGAGGGGGATCGGTGTCCCCCAGTACCTGTTACGTGATATCGCCCAATCACGCGCCTCCCGCAGCCAGTTAGCAAACCTCTTCTCCTTCACAAAGTCTGGCACCCTGAAAAAAAAAGATATGTAAGTTTTCTTAACTGATTTAATCCATGAGAAGCAAATTAAAGTTTTATGTATACAGTAAAACTCAATTATAACGAAGTAACTGGGACCTGTGTAATTACTTCGGGCTATTTAGTAATTCGTTACATCCGTGTATATAGCTGGGGACCCAAAATAACTTCACTATATCCGTGAATTCACAATATTCGTGTTTGTACTAAAGGAGTTTTCCTATACTATGTGGTAGTTGGTAATTTTATTTCGATGAAAAATGAAATGGTTATTTGCTGACCAGTATATTTTTTGGTTGTTCTCTAGAAGTTGTGTTGTTGCTTGTTCCACTCTCACAAACCAGCTGGGCACAGCCTTGTAGATCAATGGTGTCTCTGACCTGAATAAAAGATTCCAAGTTATTGCTACAATATCCTATATAAGATCATACCTAGTCAGTGAGTGTATTTTCATTTCATTTGTACTTTAACAACTAATTTCAAAACATTTTTTTTCTGACAAAGTACACGTTTTTCATGCTTTGAAAGATCCACTACAAAAATTTAAAACAAAGTGACATTTTGAGCTTGTACCTCCAACAGAATGGGTAGCTATGCTTAAATGTGGACTGATGAACGAGACGATCCCTCTGTTTCAGGTTTTTCACAATTGCTTTGTCTGCATCCTACAATACAAGAACAGCAACACATCAAAACAAATTCACTACAAATATTAAAGACTCAATGCCTATTCATATACAGGTAGACGTATGTGTATTTTCAATTTCCTGCAAAAATTACATACTTGCAGTCCATGCACCTCATGAACTCGCAGATATATATGAAACAAATAAATAAATAAATGCTTTAACTCTTTATAGTTAATATATGTAGTGTATAATTCAAGAAATAAAATTAACTTACCTTGACATATTGACCTTTGAAGTCTGTGACCTCTTCAGTGAACTTTCCTGAGGCATCAACAGGGCATATGATTTTCATGTCTCGGGTGATGACACCATATCTCAAACACACCCGATAATCGTCCTGGAGGACAAAACAGCATGATACAGGTCAAAAACAAAAACAAATGTCTTAATACCTGTATATTTGTTATACATCATTTCATTGGCAATTCCTATGATTCTGTTAATATATATAACCTTTCACCTCTAAATGTAACCTTGACATTCATTTGTTACACCTTAACCTTCAATAATTAAAACATAGTGTCTATCTCATATTTCATTAAAAGCTCTGACCAAATTTGCAGCTGCAAACATACAGGCAAATATAAACAGGGGAATGACATTGATCTAAAATACAATGTACATTCTTGAACTACCACATCTTTACAAATTTTTACAAAAAGTATACTTGTTAGAAAACAGGGGATACTATATGCAACTTATGATTTATTCATCATTTTAAAAAGATCCATTATTTAAAATGAGACTGAGTTACATGTATGTTTACAAATAGAATATAAACACAATGCAAGACAAAAATTAAAGTACCTCTCCAAAGTATGGTGACTGGTGAACAACCCCTGTACCACTCTCAGCGGTTACATAGTCATCCATCAAGACTCTAAAGGCGTCAGTCTTCTCTCTCATCTACAGGTCAATCAAATTTTTAAAATTTGGATCAAAAACTTTCATTTAATTCATCTATACATACATACATGTAAGTTTATTACAAAAATAGTCTTTCCTTCAAAGCAGTTCATTATTTATTTGTCAGTTATTCAATTGATGATACTTTCAAGATTGAAAGGATAGAGCATATGGAAATACCAAGGCATGGTACTCACATATCTGAAATATGGAAAAATTGGTTCATATTTTCTGCCTTCCAGCTTCTTTCCTTGAAATCTGTGAAAATAATGAATGATAGTCTGAGTTTTCAAATACATGTAATCTGCCTTACACTTAAACATGGACAGCAAGAACACATGCACAAAATGACCTATAGGTCTCTCCATGAAAGAGCTAAAATTCCATTGATTTGGGTTGAAAGGATATGGGCTGTAAATGCTGAATTTCAAAAGAATCCCCTTTTCATATATACATTCATACAAATAATCTGATCGATAGTTGTGATAAACACTATAAATGAAATTTATTTTTCCAGGAATATTTCTGCTTTTAAAGTAATTGAAAGCTAAATCTGAAACATCTCATCAGTCATTTTTCAGATGCATTTTCTTGCGGTTGACCTCGTTAGCAAGATCCTCTATGTACTGATTAAAATCCTTACTTTTCTAAAACTGTGTATTCATCTTCTTTCTTGAACAAAGCTTCAAGTCTAGCTTCCATCATTATGTACACCTTTCCTGTGGCTTTATCTATCAACAACAAAAATTTTAATTTATTAGAGCCATATCATTATGACAAAATGGGAGTTTATATATGTAAGTATCTTCAGCATATTACATGTATTAGCTACATAGACTATTACTCAGAGAATGTACCTTTGACTTTTACGTAAATCATCTCTGGATTCACACACACAGCCAAGTTGCTAGGCAATGTCCAAGGCGTTGTCGTCCAGGCAATGACAGCTACTCCAGGTTCATCAAGTAGGGGAAAGTTCACAATGACTAAAATTAAGATTAAAATGCTTTTCAAAAATACATAGAGCTTAGATTTAAAACGCTGTTTTGTTTTTTCGTTTTTTTTTTTTTTAATATTTAAAATCAGCATAACTTGCAAAATAAAACAAAAAAGGCAAAATGTAAATTAATTTTCAGATCATCTACCAACAAGTTCATCTACATATATATCCAAAGTAATATATTTTCTTTTTCTTTTTCCTTTCTTATATCTTTGTTGTTTTTTGCCTAATATTGTTGCTCAAAAAAAAAATTACCTGCTGGATCCACCACATCCTTGTAATTCTGTCCCGACTCAAAGTTTGACAAAGGAGTGTTACACGCAGTAGAAAAAGGCATGACCTTTGACCCTTTGTAAACTAGTCCACTATTGTACAGCTCCTTGAACACCCACCAGATACTCTCCATGAAAGTGGGATACATTGTTTTGTAGTCATTCTCAAAGTCAATCCAGCGTCCAAGCCGGGTCACAATCTCCTACAATGACCATCAAAGTACAGTAGTATAATTTTTAATAATTAATTAATACTGGTATTAAGTAATAATTAATTGTGCAGGGAGGAATTGAATATCATTCTAGTTTTGAATATGCATATATCTCATCTCCCAACCGGCAGAATACATCCCAACAAATTTGATTTATCTCACCTTGAACCCAGATAGGGCTGTATCAATGTATCGATACGTATCGATATTCAAGAAAAAAATCATATCGAAAAATTACTTCCAATACGTATCAGACAAGCAGTTTTTCTTCTAATTCTGCTAAAAAGATGGGAATTTTAATCAGCAAAGATTATATTTAACTTTTTTGAATTAAAACTAATCAATAATCATAGATTTATTAAAGAAATAACACAGTTTTTATAGTTATTATAAATTGCATAACAATTTTATTTTAACATGTTGATTTTACAGTCATTAAAAGTTTCGATTGGAAGTGTTTTATTTATTGACTATTTGATGAGAACTTTGAAATGGGTAATAAAACACAAATTTTTTTATGAAATCCATACATTAAATGATTAATAAGCCTTTTTTGATGGACTTGTTTTAGAATCCAGTATATCGGATATCACTTTAAAAAATATTGTATCGTATCGTATCGAAATTTTTTGCTCAATACACAGCCCTAAACCCAGAAGATGATTTCATTACATTTTATATTTATCTCACCTCCAGCTCAGCAGAAAATTACATGATAATTTATCTCACCTTCACTAAGCTGTGTATCTCATGACAATTTATATCTATCTCACCTCCCACTCAGTTGAGTATCTCATGACAATTTATACCTATCTCACCTCCCACTCAGTTGAGTATCTCATGACAATTTATACCTATCTCACCTCCCACTCAGTTGAGTATCTCATGACAATTTATACCTATCTCACCTCCCACTCAGTTGAGTATCTCATGACAATTTTGCGACACTCTGCATTGTAAGCTGCTATCCCCATCTTCTCCACATCTTCTGGCCCTTTGATCCCTAATGTTTTGTCAATCTCATACTCCTATTATAAAGATTTAAATATTCCAACACTTCGTACCAACACTAGGTAAAAAAATCATTTTCTCTGAAAATTTCAATTTGAATAATAAAATTTGAAAGCATATTCTCTAGTATGTATAAAAAATAATTTCTCCCTGGGGGTTAAAAAAAATGAGTCAGTTCATTTTTAAAATTTTAGTTTCAATTAAGCCTTAAGAATATTAAGTACTAACCACTGGGAGACCATGACAATCCCATCCAAACCTTCTCTCCACATGGTAGCCTGTCTGGTGGGCCCAGCGGGTGACTACGTCTTTTATTGTTCCTGCCAAGATATGTCCATAATGAGGCAGTCCTGTAGCAAATGGTGGCCCATCATAAAACGTGTACCTGTAATAATTATTTTTCCATCAATTGCCTGTGCTGAATATTGTTCATTCTTATTTTGAAACAAAACTTTTCTTATTAAGTTTCCACAATTTAAATTTGTTATTATTTATCAATTTAAGGGTTTAGAACCCTGGGTTTTAACTCAATTTAGAAGCTTATGTACACAGTTCTTTGAACTTTTTCTTGAACATGTGTCACTAGTTAGTCAATATATTTGGGTCTCAATATATAGCTCAGTGGTTACAGCACTGCCACTGTATGCCAGAGGCCCTGGGTTCATGTCCCAGTTGAGAATTGATTTTTCACCACCTTTGACATATGACATTTCTTGGATAAAAATTCTCCTAAGTGTCCATAGAGAGACAAATTAAATCATTTAATATTCTTTTCCACCTCATTACCTGGGTTTCCCTTTAGACTGTTTTAATGATGTACGGAAGGCATCAATTTCTTTCCAGTACTTAAGGACCTTCTCCTCCTCATCTGGAAAACTTATATTTGTGGAAGGTACAGGCTGTGCCATTTCAGGTATATCTCACTATAGAAAAGGAATCAAAGAATATTGCTTTTTGTTGTATATGTTTTTGCCATGGTGAGAGAAGTATTTGTTAATGGCGACCAGAAATTCTGAAATGAAGACCAAAATTTTTTAGGTCATTATAATTTAGCAATCTAAAAGTTAGTGTGACTTGAAGCACTGAATCAATCTCTAACCCTGTTGAAGTAAAGAGAAAACAATGAGCCCTGAAGTCAACAGCATACATGTATGCTAGGAACACTTGCCCATCAACTGAGTAATATTTGAATTGATAGTTCAAGCATATAAAGTTTTCTTCTTCCTATGAAGTGAAGGGCCGCTGCTGCAGCATTTTCTCACTTTGATTAAAAACATGTACGTGTGGGGTAGTCCACGCGTCTATTTACAATTTTTAAATCTGATTAAAACATGTCCTGCTTCATTTACGGTGCTTTATATCCCTGAATCCTGGTCTTAAAGGACTCCAGGGACATGGTCGTGGTGATGGTGTCTTCTGGCAGCTGGTTCCATACAGATCTGCAGCTAACATGTAGCTCAAATACTAGTTGCCAGTAATGTTTTGAAATATTAGATTAATTGCTTTCAGACACAAAGAAAAAATAATTAAAGCAACAAAAAAAATATAAAGAATCAAAATGAAAGTACATGCTTTAGGAATTCAACCATACTTTACGTCACTGAGCATTGAAACGGATACACGGAAACTTGGCCTTTTTACATCATTTTAAAAAGTTTGATTATTTTTACAAGATACAAACCTGCTAATTTTGAGAAATTTAAGAGGAATGGACCATCGCAAGGCTAGATAACCGAGGAATACTTTCACAAATGTTGCATCAGTTTGTACCGGTATAAAACATGTGTACCGGAAGTATAAATTATATAAAACCTAAAACCATCATTGTAGATGCGTTTTTTCGATTTTCTTTTTCATCCGAACTATATTTAACGATCTCCGATCCTCAGCAAGGCGAGATAACTCGTACTCATATTCGGAAATAGTTTATTCGTACCATAAAATCCGGTATTTATAATTTTTGGAAATCTTTTGTGAAAGAAGGAAAGTATATTAACGATGTAACTAGTAAACAATCAACAATGGAGGGAAATCCCTCTAGAGCAAGAAACAAGAAAGGTCGCTTCAAAAAAGGGACCAGCAGTTTTTCTAGCATTTGTGTAAACACCGGTATTGATGAAAATAACAATGAAACCCAGATCAGCAGTTTTCCCACAGACACTTGCGTAAATAACAGTACTGCCGTTGACGTAAACAACTCTGAAACTCAGACATCCGAACATGATGATGATGTAAGTTCCACTGATTTAAGTGAGACCGAAGAAAGTGAAGAATTGTCTAGAGTATACACCAATATCTTTGATGGTCGAAGGATCATAGAGTTTGCCGTTTTAGTTGAACATCTAAAACGAGGATGTTTTGTTTGTCATACGCCACTTGACTTAGCGAATTGTGTAAAAGAAAGACAGTATGGCCTTGCGAGTCTTTTATACATAGAGTGTACAAACTGCAAGGAGTTGACAATTGTGCCAACCGGGAAGCGACACAACATTGGTCCAAATGGCCAAGGTCCATTTGATGTGAATACAAAGCTTGGGGTTGGTATGTATTTATTTGGTTGTTTGTTTTTTCTTCTATTTTGAATATATGAAAAATAAGAACATACAATGTATGTGTATTTCTGAAAATAATTCCAATGATTCTTCTTTTTATATGACACAGATAAGCAGCCTAATGATCCTCTAAACTTTTGATAAAGAAATAATTATTTGGTTCATAATAATAATCATAGCAATGATAATGGTGACAAGTTATGAAGGTTTTATAAATATAAAATTTATTGTAGCTTTGACCCATGCTGGAGTTGGGGAGGCTGTTGTGACAAAGCTCTTTTCAACTCTCAACATCCATTGCCTTAGTCATAGCAATTTGAAAAAGAGAGAGAGAGAATGTGCCCCTGTATTTGAGTCACTTGCTAAAATGACATGCAATGATGCATTGGAGAATGAGGCACATACATCAGGGTAAATATTTTCATTGTGAAAATTACTTCCATAGTATTCATCATAACATCTCATAAAATCATATAGCATTGTCATTTTATAAATATGTACTTGTATTTGGTATAATGTTTATATTGATCACATTATAAGTAACATATTTCAGATATTTTCTAAAGAAATTTTGCACACCTACTGATTTTTTTTCATTAGTATACGTGTGATTTTCATACTTCATATCTTTCTAAATATTTCAATTCATTCTAGTGATAGTGGTTTGATACTGTCTTACGACGCTGGTTGGCAAAAGAGAGGAAGTGGAAGAAATTATAATAGTTTATCAGGTATTTTATGATGTGATTTTTTTTATAACATTATGAATGAATTTTATATTGTATAAATACATATGTATTTATGAATATGAAAGAAGAGTTTTGAAACCCCAAAATGTCATTGTATGCTAATGAAATGAATAGAGGGTATTCAATCTTTTGTGGTTGCATATTGAATTTATTTCATGAGTGGGACACTTTTTTTTCATATTTTCTTGAGTGTAAAACATGATTGAAAGTATGAGAAAAAAAATCAGGTCTCACAACTGAAATAAATGCCATATCCAACTACAAAACATTGATTTTTCTTTTTATTACATTTTCTTTCATTTTCCATTTGCCCATATCTTTTTGTAGTTTCATAGTGTCATAGTAAACATATTGTCATAGTTGATTAGCTAAGTAACATAGTATTGAAAACATACAAGGTTGAGACATAGTTGAATAGACTTTGATGTTTACAAAGAATTGTATGGGTACATAAAAAAGAAATAGCTATCCAGGTTCAATCAAGGGTGTACAGGGATTTACCCCAGGTTGTATTCCATACACCCTTTGGCCTCCGGCCTCAGAGGGTATGGAATAAAACCTGGGGTCAATCCCTGTACACCCTTGATTGAACCTGGATAACTAAAAGAATTTCACTGTTGAAAATGTAATAAAGTAATTTCAATATCAAGAAATACACATGAACATTCAATTATTATGGATATAAAAGTAAAAAAAGAAGACACACACATGTATAAATGAATAAATGAGTTTTTTTTCTCTTATCAACCATTTATCAGGTCATGGATCAATGATTGGATGTAAAACTGGAAAGGTGGTAGGCTATGATGTGATGGCAAAGAGTTGCAGAGTATGTAAAAGTGCTGAGCTCCGAGGACGGGAGAAGAAAGAACATGATTGTAGAAAGAATTGGGAGGGAAGCTCAAAATCAATGGAACCATCCATGGCTGTAAAGATCCTAAAAAGTATTGAAAACAAGGGGCACAAAGTGAAAACTTTAGTTATGGATGATGACACTAGTACCATTCATAAAGTAAGATTGGAGGTAAATGCTGACATGCAGAAATGTAGTGATAAGAACCATACGTTCAAAAACTTTGCAAATAATCTGTATGCCTTGCAGAAAGAAAAATATAAGAGGATACTGAGTGTCAAAACTATAGGTCACATAAAAAAGTGCTTTGCGTATGCTGTGTCCTCTAACAGAGAAGAACCCATATCATTGAAAGAAAACCTACTAGCCATTCCAAACCACCTATATGGTAAACATTCATCATGCCAAGTGAAATGGTGCAGATATCTACAAAATAAGGAAACGTACACACCGAAGCATCTTCCCTATGGAAAATATCTCACCGACACGAATCTGTTTGAAGACCTTCAGCAACTTTTTACATCATATGCTAATCAGTCAGAGAGACTTTCTTTACTTGAAAGCACGCAACATAATGAAAATTTCAACCACATTGTATCCAGGAAAAACCCCAAGAATAATTTTTATTCAGGATCGGAAAGTACAAGTGTGAGAGTTGCAGCAGCAGTCTGTGAGAAAAATATTGGAGCTCCATATGTACTTCAGGTAACTTCATATAGAAAAGTTGTATCATTTATTATCTTTCTCACCAGTGAATGAAAATACAATGTACATGTAAAAATATAACATTCAAAATTTGTGTTTTTTTATTGCAGATACATGAAGAGCTATCATTGTCTCCTGGAACATGCACCGCAAAAGACGCTGAAAGAAAAATGAAGAAAAGGAAAAAGAATTTCGAACAAATATCTTCAAAAGAGTTCAAAAAAAGAAGAGTTGAACTGAAGAAGAAGTCGGCATCTGCAATATCATCATCTGAAACAAGGGAGGGTATAACTTATGAGAGTGGTGTACTTTCTCAAAGTAGTAGTATTCCTGATGAAAGAATGGAGACTATTCCATCCCCTCCAGAACAGCTCCACCAAGTTCCACTGCCTCCGGGTGAATACAGTAGAGTCTACTTTGATCTAGAGACAACTGGTTTAGGTATGTGGGTAAAATTGTTATTTATCCTTACAAATATATATAACAGAAATATCGTGTAATTTTCTTATAAACTCATATCTTATACTTTTTCATTTTTTTCAGATGCATCATGTGAAATAACACAAATGGCTGCAAGGTGTGCTGATTTCTCTTTTTGTGAGTATGTGCTACCATCAGTTGCCATACAGGAGACAGCCTCAAGGATAACAGGACTTACCTGTGATGGTTCTACTTTATACAAGAATGGTGTTCCCGTGCAAGCATGTTCCATACAGGAGTGTTTGACATCATTTCGTGAGTGGCTAAATAATACACCGGGGATACGTAAACCTGTGTTATTTGCTCACAACTGCAGAAAATTTGACAGTGTCGTTTTATGCAGAGCTATGAGAAAGTTTTCCAATATACCACTACAAGACTGCATTATTGGATTCTGTGATACTCTTCCTATGTTGAAAGAACACACATCTTGTAATCCATCCAATTCAACTCTGGAGACCCTTGTGCTTGAAATACTAGGCTGTACATTTGATGCACATGATGCTTTAGAAGATTGTGCATATCTGCAGAAACTTGTTGAGTACCACAACACAGAATCCTATTACTTGAACTATTCTTTCAGCATGGATTATATCATGCAAGTTGTCAACCAGATGGAAGTTTCTAAATCTAATCTGCAAACTTTGATGCCCTTGATAAGGAACAAAGTAGTGTCGGAGAGCATGGTGAAAAAGATGTCGCTCTCTGGACTGTCTCTGCATCATATTCAGTTGGCATACAACAGAGGAGGGTTTGATGGTGTACACAGTGTACTCAGTGAAAATTTCAATGGGAAACCCAGAGTGACAAAACGAAAAAACATTATTACATCTGTTGTTCAGTTCTTGAAAGAAACATAACTCTTACATTTGATGTGGATGTAAAGATGTGGTGTTTCATTTCCATGGTTATTATGCTGGATACACCTGGTTTTTAGTAATTTATTTTATATCAACATACCTAATAAATGTTTTTATGTGCACAAATACAGTGTAACCATCCTATACTGAATATAAATTGCCAAAACCTTGAAGACATCTCTTTTTCCTTATATAAACCTATATGGGTGATAACGTATTATCTTTGAAAAACACATGGAAACAATACAAATAAATGTTTTATTTATTATTCAAATCAATAGTATGAACAAATAAAATGTCATTTGTTTTGAAATTTACACTTTCAATTTTTGTGACCTGAGGATCGGAGAACCTTAATTTTCACCTTAAAATCTTAATGCACGTAGGATCCAGAGGACCCCCACCCCCCACACACAGACACACGCGGAATTTGCGGGGTAAGATGTACAATTCAAATTAATTCAATTAGTTTACTGCAATTAATTAGGGGTCTTAACCCTTATATCCAAACCGAGAAAAGTTACCTCGATCAATGACAGAACCCCCTCCGCCGTAGACATCATGGACCTAAGTTGGTAAGAAAAGTCATCAGTATGACGGTTTGGAAGCGATCGACTACACCCCCCCCCCCAATTTCCATGAATGGGTAGAACACCCCCCCCCCCCCCGATGGGGAAGGCGTGTGTAGGATCCGCGCCTGATCTTTCTTGATATTTTTCATGTTTCACTGTTTAGGTACATGTATGCAATAAAGGAAAATTATACTGCGAATTGACAACCTATCAAAATGTTGTGAATGCTTGTTTTCTTCATTCTATAAAATCGGGAATGTCACCCTCATTGAAGATTGGTTGCCAGAAAAAAAAACTATTCCTTTTTTTTAAATTTTGATGTAAAAAAATTCTCTGTTTTAATTTTGTTGCAGCGAAATGGAATTAATCAAATCAAATTACATGTATCGTGAAACTATATAAAAAAAATGTAAAAAATTTTTTTTTGAATCGCTAAAAGTATTGATCTTTTATAAGTGACCTAAATTATGATTGCATCATACATGCATACAGGAATCATTTTCGAGGTCAAACTTACAAATCATCAATTCCCTCACCTTTTAAACCGATTTGCAGACCGTGCCTTGACATGAAGTCCTTAATTTTTTTGTTTAAATTATCCAAAGAAATCCTTATAATTTTATTTAAATAATACTGTAATATTTCTATGACGCGGATTTCTTCAATTCCTTTCTTGTGATTACCCATGCACAAAAACTTTAAGCAAAAAAATATAATAAGAATATTTCATGCTAAAAAGGAAACAATTAATATTTTTATACACGTCAGTCCTTTTGTTAAATTCTCTCGCATCTGTACAGCGTATATATATAAACGTGATCGAAAAAAAAAGCTATACTAGTATATACTTTACCTATATTTGTTTTCCCATTTTTGGATTTAATCAATGGGATATATTCCTTTTAAATGAAAAAAAAAAAAATGAAAAAAAAAATCAGAATCATCAAAAGTCAAAAAGTTGAAAAAAATCATAAGAATTTATATTTGTCACTATGGTCACTTACGTTTTCTTTGCGAGTATCTGTTTTCTTTGCTGACATCGATTTACCGTTTACTGTCTGCAGACAAGACTTTTAAATGAAAATTAAAAAATACCAGAATTGTGATGCATGCATGCATATTATCGATCTCTCTATTTATACATTCAAAGCGTAAATGCCGAACAACTCGATTAATTTACTTCCCTGAAGTGAATTCATTGAAAGACGACTGGACCAGATTGAGATCGAAAGGTTAGCAGCTACTATAAAGTTTGTTTGTTTGTTTTAATTTGATCAATGTAGGTGGGGGGGCGACATTCTTTCTTTAAGTAAAATGGCTGCATGATTTTTATTTATACAATTTTATATTCACAAGTAAAAGTGAATGGGGCAGCCGCTGGCAGCAGGCAAAACTTATTTTAGGCCTCTCCTCTCCCTATCGCTGCATCTTAATTAAAGCCTCTCTTCTAAAATCTTAATTGTTGCAATTTACAAAGAATGAAATCGAGAAACAACCACGCACACTCAGACAGTTATACACACGAAATAAATTTTTCGGGCATGTTATAATATTTTTTCTCTTTGTGAATTTTTTTCATGCCCCCCCCCCCCTTTTTCTTGGGGGGGGGGGGGGGGGATGGCAGAAAAGAAGCTAGAATGATTTTTACATAAATTAACATGAGAAGCTTTTTAAAAACTTTATATTTTCTTCAACAACACTCATCATATTCTGTTTAGAGAAGTGGACAAGCTTTCACCCTTTTAGTCATCTCTCTACCGGAATATATTAATTTGTACCGCTTTACTCTAATTTTTAGCGAACAAATTTTATTTCCGCTTTGAGAAAATGCCACGGTAGAGTTTGTTGACTGTGTGTCTGAATCTGCATACCATTTAGAAGATTCTGATACGGCAAAATGACAAACGGTAAGCTGAATTTATAATTATGTACAATAACTACCTCTTTCATTTAATTCAAGGAAAAACAACAAACAGAAAGGAGGAGAATTTAAGATAATCGAATGTAAAATATGAAAGGAAATGAAAATAGATTAATATTTTGTAAGTGTAGTTTTATTTCAATGACTTTATCATTAGTTTGCTATTTATTTTAGCATATTCGTTCGAGGGAATCATTGTGTTCAGCATGTTGGTTATCTGCACCTGTGCCTACATGAGAAGAGTTCCACGACTGAAAAAGTGGTTTTTATCAGAGAAAAAGGGCTTTCTTGGGGTGTTCTATAAAGGTAAATGAGAATAAAAAGTGTTCAAGATCAAACATTCTTTTTAATAAGGTTGAAAACTAAAATAAATATTTTAAGTCCCTTTGGAATGTTATAATACCTGACTGGCCTTTAACAAGAGGAGAGGTGGTAGATAGAATGTTCTTTCAGTAAAATGACATTGTTTTACGGACCTGGTTTAGGGATGAAATTTGTTCCATGTATTGGCAATGTAGCAAAATAAAAAAAAAGTTGATTACTCAAACCCAGTGCATTTAATTCAAACAATCCAGAGAAAATTATTTTAGCTGTGGTGAGGGCTTGTCCCAAAACATAGTTCGATTATTCTAACTAAAGTGATGGAAGATTGCTTCATCAACAACAACTATGAGAAAAATCTTGACATCATATTTATTTCATTTTAAAAAGAATTGTTGATTTTATAATAAATTTCTAATTGATTCTCTTTTCAGCGTCTGTGATTGGTACTAGACTTCATGTTCCAGTGGCTTTGACTTGCATTTTAATGGCATTCTACATTCTGTTTCTGAGGTGATAGGAATTAAACAAGTGAAGGAAAGTGACTGATGTATATATATTAAAAAGAAAAGAATGGTGTTCATTGACAACATTTGGGTACAATCATGAAGTATGGTACAGTGCATTTTTGCTGTGATAAAAGTATTGTGCTCTGTTTTGTAAAATTGTGCTGTCATTTGACATTTACATAAGAATTATACATGTTATATGTATTCAGTAGGTGTAACATTTTCAAAAGAAAATACTAGAATTGATAGAAACAATCAAAGAAATGGACTCACAAAGTGGAAACTTTTAATAGACATGGATTTAATAGACAAGGGTCCAGAGGACATAAAATAAATGCAATATCATGTTTCAAAAATGTGATATCTTTTAAAATATGTATATTTTCTGAAACAAAAAGTGTTGGTCAGACACAGTACAAAAAGAATGTTTGTATTGAAAATAGTATATGTGTAGTGGGAATGAAAATACTGTGAAATGGAACACTAGGTGTTAAATTACACAATGTTTACTCTATAAATTATTTCTAAGATGTTTCAATTAGAAAATACTCATCAGTGAGTAGACAATTTATAAGGGATCTGAACTTTAGAGTAATCATTTTTGTTCATCTGTACCTTTCAAATTTTGCGATGTACCCATTTGAACCTGCACATATCACACACTTTTTATGTATGTAGCAGAATTACAGTGAAAATAGTAGAATTCTGCTTATTAAATAGGTAGTAGAAGAAACATCATTATCAATTAGATATTTCTGTGAACATGTGGATAATATGTACTCAATGTTACTGAATGTCTGCTGTCACACTGCAGGAACATTCTTTATGTATGAAATGTATATAATTATTCTTAGATTTTTAATATGTGTATTTGTTATTTATGAATTTGATTGTCTGTAAAATATTTAATAAAAAAAATATATATTCTTTTCTATGTTCAAACTTAAAGAGAGAATGAGTTGGAAAAAATACTTTTGGCATGTATTGTGAATGGAAATGGTCAGTAGTGTATAATAGCATTTTCACTGTATTGAGTGATTTTTTTTCTCACAGTCAAAGATGTTTACAGCATCCTGTATAAATTTCACAATAAGTTAATAATTTGATACATGTAATTATATTTTAAAAGAATTCTTTTATTGAAATTTAATTTTCATACCTCTGGTCATATTACAGATTGAACCATTTTTCTTGGCTTTATTCTATATGAGCATCATGTAAACTCATTTATATTTTTTTATGCTTCATTAACTTGTATATTTTTCATACTTGGCTGTCAGGAATCAAGTATTGACATATACATGTAGATTTTCAATTGTCTCGTTGAAAAGTTCTTAAATGCATCATTTCAATGCAAGGGAGCATCAAAAGAAAGCCAGGAGCAATATATACATGTATGTAATGCACATTATCAATGAGGAAAATCCCTCTTTCCCTTATTTGATATGAAAGATACTGAAAATCATACATGTATGTATTTAATATGTTCTTTGTTCCTCACATGATAAATTAAAACTTTTGAAATAAAACCTTCACAAATCTTGCAAAATTTGTTTTGCTCACTTAAGATACAGTAAAATCTATTTATCTTGATCATGAGCTTGTTGGGACCAAGAAAAAAAGGGAAGATATATCTGAGGATTCAAGATTACTTGGGTTAGATACTTAAGAATATGTGATTTGGACTTGGAAACTCTTCAAATATGGTATTCAATGCATTTAATCGGTATTCAAAATACCAAAATTCAATATTGTACAATTTCCCTTTTATATTATATAAATTGATATAGTAGTATACATGAACAATCAAACCTTATGATTTCAAACCCTAAGCAACCATGGAAAAATGATAATAGATAATCCAAAGATTAGAGACATCGAGACTGAAATGGTCCTTGTAACACTTAAAAGAAATCTAATTTCAAAAGTGATTTAGTGTTTTAGAATTTTAATACATTAGATAGATCAATTCCTAAATTAATAAAAAAAAATCAAAATGATTTTGTACATTGAAATTTAACATTTAAAAAACCTAGATTTTAAATATCAAAATACGAAAAATTGTACTGCACTGTTGCAACCACTATTGAAATAACAACCACTATTGAAATAATTATTTCAATAGTGGTTGAGAGTGCATTTCAGTAACAAACATAGGTTGCAACTGTAATGAAATAGAATAATCGTGTGAATTTAAATGTTTCTAAAATCGTCCAATCGAATCATTTTATAAATAAAACATCATTAACAATTATTAACAAATCAACATTTATATTACAGTTAATCAGAATTCCCAAATTATTAACCAATCATTAGTACTAAGTAATTAGAAAAATTATAAATACAGACACCCATGAAGTGTTCCTCATCGCTTGAGTAACACCTCTTGGGCTAGGTTGGGCTTTGTCCGGAAACATTAGAATTGTTCGTCAAACCACTCAGCTCAGGAATTTAGTTCCTTATTAGTGTCTCAGTGACTTAATTTATATAGTGTCTTGGTGACTTTTAATTAATATAGTGTCTTGGTGACTTTTAATTAATATAGTGTCTTGGTGACTTTTAATAAAGTTTTCTTGGTGATTGCTAGGGTGTGTTTAGGGTATTTGCAGACTGTGTCGGGAAACAACAGAATTGTTTGTTATACCACTCAGTCTGCAACTACAGAGATAGGTTTTAGGTTTGATTATTGATTAAACTGTGGTTGGTTCTTTTCTTATAATTTGTTGTCGTTAAGTTCATGTTTGTTTGCTAATCATTATCCAGTTTGGACCGAGGAAAAAAATATTATAACACGAGTTTGTCTATTTTGCCAATCCAGATTTTATATTTGTCATTGTTAGTGGATCGTCTGCATGAAGTTGACGTAAGTTTGTTCGATTTTATATGATAACGTAATTCTTAGGAAGGAAACCTAAGCGAACTCAATTATGAATCATTTGTACTTTGTAAAAACGTAACACAACCACTAGTGAAATACGACCACTTTTAAAATAATTATTTCAATAGTGGTTACATTTCAGTAACAAACATAGGTTGCAACCACTATTGAAATATATGTACTTGTAATTATTTCAATAGAGGTTGAGAGTGTATTTCAATAACAAACATAGGTTGCAACCACTATTGAAATAATTATTTCAATAGCAGTTGAGGGTGTATTTCAATAACAAACATAGGTTGCAACCACTACTGAAATACGACCACAATTAAAATACTTATTTCAATAGCGGTTGAGAGTACATTTCAATACAAAACATAGACTGCAACCACTATCGAAATAATGTTCAATTTTGATATAAAGTTTTCAAATTCAATAGTGAATGAGATAATGATTTCATAAGTGATTTAAATAACTGTTTTGATAGTTGCTGATAATTAATAGACCACCACATTTTAATCACCATTGAAACAACACCTACTATTGTAGTTAACCCAATACAGAACATCAGCCTTTTTAATCTTCATCGTCCCTAAGTTTTGCATCAATGTACCCTTATCACCTGCACATGTGGCATATATCTCTCAGTTGATTCGATATGCAAGAACATGCTCTACGTATGAAAATTTAATTATAAATGAGGTAGGTTATTGACAGGCAAATTGATGAAACAAGAAAATCAACAGTCTTGTTTGAAGTCATCATTTCGTAAGTTCTAGATTCGATACAATGACTTTGTCAGCATATATATCTTGTCCTTAAGTCAAATACTGACCGACGTTTTTTCATACTTATTGTTAGACCATTATTTACAAATTGAATTGGCGACGAATTTTTCCGTTTTTCCCGATCATGACAAGGAGCACACGGCGGGTGAAACCGGTCGGCAGGGGATGTTCATTCCTCCATGGCACCAGATCCAATTTCTGATGTTATGGAGGTCCATGTATTCCATGTTTGCTCTGCTTCAAAATTGTATTGTTCAATGGACTTTTGAGCTGAAATGCTTTTTAATATCTCCATATATTTCACCTAATGTATTAAAATTCTAAAACTCTAAATCATTGATAGAAATCTGAATTGTGAAGTGTTACGTGGACTTTAAGCTGTGCCAGGGTGATGTATCTAGAGAAAAACACTACCAAAATTACTTCAGAGCTGGATTTGAGCTGAAAGAGCTAATTTTTCATGATGGATGCAAATAAGTTTGAAGTTTTTGTAGCAGGTCAATTCCTAAGGACACTCAGATGAGTGAGCTAAACTTGCATGGATAGAAAATCAAGATGTGAACACTACCAGACATTTTTGAATGTTGTGACGAGACTAATGCATGTAATTGTAAAACAACGTTTTTAAAGCAGGTCTATTCCCTGCATGACATGAACAGCAAGCCCAACGAATTCAGCCCATTTTTGTTGGGTAATAAGCCAAGGAATGGACACTATCAGACCTTGCTTCGAATGCAGATGGATCTGACCTTCTCTTCTAGAAGATTAAACAGGTTAATTTTATTAATCAGAGTTCAACGTGAAGAGGGTCTGACTCTGATCTGAAAACAAGAAATTTGTAGAAATTACTTTTCAAAAATTATGAAGAGTTAAAGATAATTTTACTTGAAAAAAAATTGTACAGTATGACTAAAAACAAATGTATAAGCCTTATTAGAACAATTTCGTTGGTTCCTAATACATGTAATCTAAAAGGTGACAATAATGAACAGAGATCGACTACGCAAACAAAAAATGTTAAGATCTAGATGGCATATTATAAAACACGGACCCCTGAGAATTCCAGAGGTGGAAAATTTTATATTATTTTTCAGCAATGTTTTCATATCGAAATTATTTAAGTATTTGCTTGACATTTTTTTTCAACATCTTCTCATCTACGAAACATATCATATGTTATACGTAAAATATATCAGGGCTCGAATTTACACTTTTTCTAAGAACTTGCAATTGAAGCCTAATACTTTTTTCAAAGTTAATTTTTGTAGTTAAAAAAAAATTAAAGCCCGGTGGATAATATGATATATACCTCCTCAATTATCAGTAAGATTAATTGATTTTTCTTATCAAGTAATACAATGTTAAGTGATGGGTAGTGAGACAATACTTAATTTGGTTTCAGATATTTTAAATCAGTATATTGTTAAGGAAAAAATTTTCCTATAAAAGCAGATTGAAATTTTGACAATATCATGTTCTAATGAATTTAAGTAATAATTATATTTAATTGATCTCAAATTCATTATGATCCATTCCAATTTAGTGCCGTGTGCATAGCAGCACAACGTACGTAGTATAAATTTCATATATTTCGCTGCATAGCGCCAATTCCAAATAGTCAATAAAGTAAGACTGTACGATAAGATCTCTGTGAAAATAAAAAGGAATTTATAATTTTATATCAACATAACGACTGACACCACCATGTGTAAGTAAACCGAATTTTTTTTTTCATATGGATTTAAAATAAATTAAATGTTTATACATTTCATATCAAAATTTTAAAACCTATTAACTGATAATTTATCAAAATAGTCAAACTTAATTTTAAAAGAATAGAACATTTTTTGTTAAAAAAAAAATGTATACGTAAATTGGATTATTTTACATATTAATTTATAAAAGAAAATATTTTTTGAGTGTTTTACACATTTCAAAAGTTTAAAACTTGGTTGATTAAGTCAAATTAGTTAAACTAAAGACTCTAAGATAATAATTTCACTGATATGTTCTTTAGTTATTTGGAAAATATATATATGAGAGGAGTTAGTTTAATTTTATCATCGGTAATCAGTATAGAAATTGACATGAAGGACAGGCACGTAGGATCGATTTTGAAAGTGGGGGGCCAGCCACAAAATTTTTTTTACTTACCTGAAGAAGTTGACAAGCAAAAAAGAAAAGAAAGAAAGAAAGAAAACCTCTCCGAAGTCGAATATCCT